CAAAACCAATTTCATTTAATTCTTCGTCACTTTGATTACTGTTGTGAATTAAATATCCTTTTGGATTTAAAATTTTGAATATTTCAGTGTCTTTGATTAGTTTTGATGTTGTTTGTAATTGCTTTGGTAAAATTATAATATCATAGTAGTTGTATTTTAATTGTTGTTTTTCAATTAATGCTTGATTTAAATTAATTTCTTTTAATAATAAACTTCCATTAAATGATGGTAGTTGTGATTTGATATCTTTAATCTCTTGGTTGGATTCTAAACCGATTGAAAACTCTATATCAATTTCTGAATTGTTTGATAGTGTTGTGTTGATCAAATTGATGATATTTGTTGATAGTTCATAGTTATTTGATATTTGAAGTATTCTGAATATTGCTTTTTCATTTTTAATTGGTATAATTGAATTTTCAATGATTGTTAGAATATTGTTGTCATAATTTGGATTATTGAATGATAAGTTATTGAGTGTTGATTTTTGGACTAATGAATCACGTTCTTGCCAATACATTGAAAATAGTTCATTGTTTGGATTTTGGATTTGCAATGGATCTCTAATTGGTATTAATGATGTACATACAACTTTATCTGCTTCAATGATAACAGTACCATCATCTAACATTATTTTGAGTGATGAAGTTAAAGATTCTCCAAATTTACCTAAAAACTCTGAATAACAATAGATATGTGTATGGTTTGAAATATCACTTGGAATATTTGTGGAATAGACTTTATAGTCTTCGACTCTATCAAATACAATTTGACATGGATCTTCGATATATGATAGGAAACCATGAAGTGTTGTATCAATAATTGATGGATCTAGGAATGTCTTTTTAAAGCTTGTAATTGATGGATTTAATGATATCTTTGAAAATGTGCATCCATCACCTTGATAACATTCTTCAACTCTCTTGAAATGATTTAAGTATGATAATCCGGTTTTAGATTTGATGTGTGTGTATAATTCATCTTTTGAAAGTTTTGTGTTGCCACATTTTAATTTTAATTTCTCCAAACTAAGTTTTTCAATTGGTGTTTCAAAATTGAAAACATGAATTTTACCAAGAGATGTTTCTATCCATTCATTGTTGTCTTTGAAGCTAAAGCTAACTTTGTATTCGTTTCTTGAGGTTTTTGTTATTGATGTTTGTAAATGTTTGACTTCTTTTTCTTTTAAGATTAAAGGTGTCTTGAATTCTAAATATGGTATAATAAAATCTTTAGAGTTGAAAATTGATACAAGGCTATCAATATATCCGCAACCTGGGAAATAATATTTATCTTTTACAACGTGTCCTTTTAAATACTCAAATGGTGGTCTATTGATATCTATAAATGATTCGTAGATAGTTTGATGTGAGTTGATAGAGAATCCTTTTTGATCAATTGATGGTCCTTCAGTTCTAGCTTTTATAGATCTATCACTTTCTGACCAATATTGATTATTATCCCATTGATATCTTGGTAGGATAGATGTATTTGATATTACTGATGGTAAATAAATATCTTCATTTATAAACTGTGATTTAAAATTGACATTATAGCCTTTGCAATATAGTTGCGAAATTGTGTTTTGAATTTCTTGAGTATCATCTTTGGTTTTATTTAATGAGTTTATTACTGAAATTGAATCTTCATTAAAATAGCTTGATTCTTTTGGTATCATTTGTTTGATATAATATGATAAAGTTGGATGTGGTGAAATCTCTAAAAATATTGCTCTATTGTTTTTATTTTGAGTTTCAATATGATTGAATATATTTTCAATTGCTTTACTAAACATTACTGGTTCTCTAATATTTGAATAGATATAGTGTGAAGCTGGAGGTTCAATTTCATTATTACCAAATAGTTCACCTGTTACTGTTGAAAATGTTGGAATTGTTGATTTGTTATATTTAATTTGTTTTAATGAATAAACAGATTCTTGAATAGCTTTTTGGGCTGATGAATGGAATGCTGTTTGTGCACCAAGGAATGCTGAGAATATACCGTTTGATTTTGATTCATTAAAAATTTCAATTAGTTTGGCTTCATTACCTCCGACCACAATAGATGATGGTGAGTTGTAACAACAGAGTTCAATATCTGGATATCTAGATGAATACTTTTCATTGAATTGTTCTTCACTAATATTAATTACAAGCATTCTTGAATTTAGAGATTTATCTTGATTATTTGTTACTGTTAAACTTTGTAATCTTGCTCTTTGGTAAACCAAATAACATACATCATCTAAGTCAAGCATACCAGAACAATAGGTTGAAGTTAACTCACCAAAAGAGTGACCAACGATAATAGATGGTTTAATTCCCCAATGTTTATATAGTTCTATTAATGAAAATTGAACGATAAATAATGATGCTTGAGCTATTAATGGATCGTTAATTGATTTCTTATCTGTGGGGTCGATTGATCTTAGTTTTTCTAAAATATTGAATCCAGCATGGTTGCTCAACTTTTCATTTATCATATCCATTGATTTTCTAAATATTGTATTGTTTTCATATAGTTTGAGTGACATGCTGGTATATTGAGGGCCTTGACCACACATTACAAAAATAATTTCTGGATTTGAGTGTTTATGTAAAATATTGTATGATTTATTACTTGAGGTTTTGATTTGATTTTTAAAGTTATCATTGAAACTATTCCAATCTTTGGCACTGATAACTGATCTTTGTAAAAAGTTTGGTGATTTACAAAATACTTGATGTTTAATGAAATCGTCAAATTCAATTTTGTTTGAATAGTTGAATAAATTATTTAAAATATTTGATTTGTAGTCTTCTAATGATTTTTTTGAATTTGCAGAAAATGGAATCAAATAGTTTATTTCATTTTTTGATTTTTGAGATGTTTGTAGTTGCAATTGTTGATTATATTCTTTTAAGATTATACAAACATTTGAACCTGTGACACCAAAATTATTTACACCGATTGTTACTAATTTGTTTTTTGGGAATGGAGTAAGGTCTGTTACAACTTTGATATTCCATTCATTAAACTTTATATTTGGATTTGGGTTATTAAAGTGAATGTTTGGTGCAAATTGACGATGTTTGAACATTAAGCAGCATTTAATGATTGATGCAACACCTGATGCAGGTTCTAAATGACCAATGTTGGACTTTACTGAACCAATTAATAATGGAGAGTTGTTTGAATGATGATCTTTTAATGACATTGATATCGCTTCGACCTCTATTGGATCACCTGTTGGGGTACCAGTGCCATGACACTCAAAGTAGTCAATATCACTTGGATTGGTTTTACTGTCTAATAATACTTTTTCAAGATTTGCATGTTGTGCATATTTTGATGGTGCGAAAAATGTTGTTTTGTTGAAAGTACCATCGGCATTTGAATTTGCACCTTTGATAACGCAATAAATATTGTTGCCATCTTTGATGGCATTTGATAATTTTTTTAATACAAGGATACCACTGCCTTCTGATCGTACAAACCCATCTGCAGAAGAATCAAAAGCTTTACAAAAACCCTCGGCACCTGTCATTTTTAAATATGAAAAAGATTTGGTGTATTGTGTATCTTTTATATAAAAATTAAATATTGTGGAGTTAGTATTGATTACATTGATTAATAGTATATTAAAATAATAAAAATAAAAATGTTTATAATTACCTAATATTAAATTGGAACCACCAACAATTGAATATTCAGAGTCTCCATTGATAATGGATTTATAACCAAGTTGGATTGCATTTGAAGAGCTTGAGCAGGCAGTATCTAGAGTTAACGATTGACCACGAAAATCGAAACAGTATGAAATACGATTTGACATTGTATGCAAACCACTAATCAAGGAGTTTATACCGTTATCCTGTTCAGTGAAGGCAGTGAGCTTATAGTCTACAGTAGTGGCACCAATATATACACTTGTATTGGTACCTCTCATTTCGTGTATTGGATCAAGACCGGCATCTTCCAAAGCTTCAAATGTTGATTTGAGTAAAAGTCTTTGTTGTGGATCAGTTATTCCCAACTCATTTGGAGCAACACCGAATAATAATGGATCAAATGATTTCCATTCATCAATTGATACCAATCCAGCATTTTTACTTTTTATTTCTCCTGAATAAAAATGATTTTCGCTCCATCTTTGATATTCTTTTGAAGCGTCAACAACGCCGTTGAATTTATTTTTTAAATTTTCCCAAAACTGGTCGGGTGTATTTGAATCACCTGGTAAACGAAATCCAACACCAATAATTGCTACATCTTCACATTTATTATCTATGTTAACCATTTTTAAAAAACAAGGAAGTTAGTTTATAAATATTTTTTGTATTATTTTAAAGTTTTATAAATATTTATTGTATGAAATTATTTTGAAAATAAAAAAAAATGGACTAGAATTATTTATATTTTTTTTTTTTTTTTAGGGGGAGAAAAAAAAGGGTTCTGAAACTCGTTGATAAAAAGTTAGAGATTTAAAAAGTCCTCCCAATGACTATTTTTTTAAAAAAAAAAAAAAAAAAGGAGATATGTGTATCTATATACTTTTTACAATATTAACAAGCCTATTTGGCAATTGGATTCCCTTTAAAGAAATAAAAATCATAAAAATGTCTCAAAATGTGGGGGAAAAAATAAAGTTTTGTGCACAACACAATTATGAAATAATGAAATTAAAATTAAAATAAAAAATACAACTGTAATTTATTACCCTTATAAAAGATTTATAATTAACAACTTAGGTTTTATTTGAACCTTAATTGATTTATCATTGTGTTATTAATAACTACTTTTGGGTATTAGTGAAAATAATTTTATTTGTGCATTTTTAAATTTTTCAAAAAAAAAAAAAAAAAAAATTATAATTTTTAAATTTTTTTAATTTTTAATTTTTTTTTAATTTTTTTTTTTAATTTTTTTTTAATACTTTCATTTAATTAGATAAATTACATTTATATTTATATTTATATTTACATTATTTATATTATATTATATATTTATAAATCGAGATGTCATCTACCCTATTAGAAAAAACAAGAAATTTACACGAAAATGTAGAACGATATGAATTATTAATCGAAAATGAAATGAAAAATGAACCAAAAACAACTAAAGAAAGAGTATTACAGAGCCATAGAGTAAACCACTATTTAAATTCATCAATCGAATGTTCTAAACAATTGTTAAATATTTATACTGATAATGATAGGTAAGCACAAATATATAATAATAACCCAAAATTATTTTTAATTGAACATAATACTAATGATGACACTTATAATAATAATAACTTTATTTAGATCAAGAAAAGATGAACTAACATCAATATCAGGATTTGGTACAGAGCTTTTTAGTTCATTTTATGAAAAACTTAGGGAAATTAAAGAATATCATCGTAAATTTCCAAATATTAAAGAAGAAAGAAATAACGAACCATTAATATATATTCGTAAGTATTGATCAATACACATTTATAAAATTTACAAAATTGATATTAATTCTTTTTTTTCTTATTTCAAATTTATTTAGCAAATGTTCCATTCACAGGTAATGAATCGAATGGCAGATTTTTAGATTTAAATGAATTTTATGAACAATATATAAATTTACATTTCATTAAAGAAAAGAATATCGATTATATCAGTTACCTAACAAGTTTTTATAAGTTTCAATACAATGATTTAGTTAGAATGAAATATTCAGAATATAAAAAATATTTAGAATCACTTTTAGAATATTTATTAAGTTTTATTCAAAGAACCCAACCACTTTTTAATTTAATACCATCCATTTTAAAATCTGAAAATGAATTTAACGAAAAATGGGAAAAAAAACAATTTGATCCAACAACAGAAGAATCCAACAACAATAATGTAGATAATAATAATAAAGATAACAACGAAGAAAATAATCCTTTATATTGTAAAGCATGCAAGAAATTATTCGCATCAGAGAATGTATTTAATGGTCATTTAAAAGGTAAAAAACATATACAAAATCAAGAAAGAATGGAATTAAATGTCAATCCTTTGTTAACATTAAAATCTAGAAAAGGAAACAGTCTATTAGAATACAAGATCACAAGACTCTCTGAATATTTATTAGATCAAATCGAAGCAACTAAAGAATTTGTATTAAAGAAACAATCAAGAAGCGCAGCAGAATTAGAGAGTGGAGAGGGTTTATTGAATGAGGAGGATGAAGAAAATTTAAATATCGAAGATATTGAAACCGAAATTGAAGCACCAAAACTACGTATCGCCAATTATCCAGTCGATTGGAGCGGCAAACCCATCCCATATTGGGTTTATCGTTATTTGGAATTAGGTGTAGAATACAAATGTGAAATCTGTGGTAATCAATCCTATTGGGGCAGAAAAGCCTATGAAAAACACTTTCAAGAAGCAAGACACTCTTATGGTATGTCTAGTATCGGTGTACCAAATACAGTTCATTTCCACGAGATCACTAAAATTAAAGATGCTTTAGAACTTTGGCAAAAAATCAAATCTCAAACCAGTTTCCAACAATTTAAACAAGACAGAGACGAAGAATACGAAGATGAAAATGGTAATGTAATGAGTAAAAAGAACTACGAGCTTTTGGTTAAACAAGGTATTATTAATCCAAATAACAACAGCAGCAGTAATAACAAATCAACAGGCAAACGTGATCGTTCATAAAATTAGAATACAAAAAATAAAAAAAAACAATAAAAAAAAAAAATAAATAAAAAAAAATAAAATAAAATAATATTAATCAAACTATAAAAATCGAAACCAATAAAACTATAATAATACCATTAATGTTTTTTTACAAAAAAATTCTGTTATTTTTACCAAATTTTTATTTTTTAATTTTTAAAAATTGATTATTTTTTTTTTTATAAATTTTTAAACATTCATGCGAAATAATTGTTTAAAAAACATAAATAAATTATACACTCTTTATAAAATGAATACAGACGATTTCCCACCATTAGGTTCAAAACCAACTAGAAAAATAACTAATAAAAATAATAATAATAATAATAGTAATAATAACAATAATAGTAATAATAATAATAGTTTTTCATATAAACAAGTAACAGCTCCATCACAAACTACAACAACTGCTCCAGCACCAACTAGCTCTACCGACACTGCCACTACAACTCCAATCACATCTATTAGGAATGAAATTATTGATATTGGCGCAAATTTAGCAGATAAATCATTTGAAAAAGATATTGAAGATATTTTAAAAAGAGGTTATAATGTAAGTTTTTTTTAATAATAACTATGATCATTTTTAAATTATTGGTAACTAATTTTTTAAATATATAAATATAGAAAGGTGTTAGTAAAATAGTTATAACAGGTACTTCAATGAGATCATCTATAAAAGCACTTGAATTAATTGAATGGAATAAAAAGAAAGGTGGTATTGTCGAATTATATTCAACAGTTGGTGTACATCCACATGAAGCTGATCGTGCTTTACAAAATGGCGGCGATAAAATATCAAACGAAATAAGACAAATAATTAAAAATAACCCATATTCTGTTAAAGCAGTCGGTGAATGTGGTTTAGATTTTAATCGTAATTTTTCAACACGTCAAAACCAGATCGAAATGTTCGATAGACAAATCCAACTTGGTATTGAACTAAACTTACCATTATTTATCCATGAAAGAGACGCCTCCAAGGAGTTTATTAAAGTAGTTGAAAAATATACCTCTGTAAATAAAATGCCACGTTCAGTCATCCATTGCTTCACTGGTAACGAAGCTGAAGCAAGAGCCTATGTACAAATGGGCTTCTATATTGGTTTCACTGGTGTCATCACTCAAGAAAAAAGAGGTGAAGATTTAAGAAAAATTCTTAAAGCCGGTATCATTCCAATCGATAGATTAATGATCGAAACTGATTGTCCATATATGACTCCACACAGCATCGATCCAAAAGATAAACCAAAACAAGATCACAATTCTAAATTTATTCGTAACGAGCCATCATTATTACCATATATATTAAGAACTTTAGCCGAGTGTTATAAAGTTTCAGAGTCTGAAATGGCATTACAAACCTTTAATAACACAAAATTATTTTTTAATTTAAATTAAACAAAAAAAACCATTTAATTTTTCTAAAAATAGAAAAAAAAATAAAGATGCGTGCAATTTAAAATGTTTTATTGATTTAATTTTAAAATAGATTTGATAAAAAAAAAAAAAAAAAAAAATAGAACACCAATTCGATGAATTTTTTTTTTAGAATTTTTTTTAAATTAAATTTGATTTATTTTTTATTTTTTTAATTTTTTATTTTTTTATAAAAAAAAAATTTCTTATTTATTTCAAAAATAATTTTTTTAAACAAACCAAAAAAACAGATATTTTGTTGAAAAAAAAATAAATAATAAATATATATAAAAAAAAAGATGATGGAAGAAGAAGAGGATAATGAATTAAATTTAAATATACCAGTTATACCATTACTCGAAGATATAGGTTGTGCAGTTTGTTTAAATATTATTGAAAGTTGCTCTACTTTGGGATGTGGACATAACTTTTGTTTTGGGTGTGTTTCAGAATGTGTAAATAGAAATCATAAATGTCCATTATGTAGCAAGCCTACAACTAAAGAAAATATAGTCAGAAACCATCAATTTGACAAGCTTATAAAGATTATTAAATTTGAAAAAGAAAAATCCAAAGTAGTTTATTATGAAAATTTAATAAACAACAATAATAATTCAGCCAAACAAATAACAACAACATCAAACACAGCATCAAAAACCTCAGTAATTAATTTTATAGATGATAGCCAACAAAATAATGAATCCAACAACAATAACTCACCAGTTCAAAATATATTTAAAAAATATTTAAAAAACTCATTGATATCATTTGAATCATATTATCAAGATTTATCAAAACCATTCAATGAAAATTTAAAGAATTTAAGCAATCAAACTGAAAATACTATTAATACAATAACTTCAACTGTGTCATCCTCTGAATTGAATGCCCCGTTAGTAGAGCAAATCAGAAGAGAACATCAAATTAAAGAAGATAAGCTTCGTAAAGACTTTCAAGAATCCACCAAATATTTATTATCGTCATTGGAGGACTACTTGAAGAAAACTGCTGTTCCACCATCATTTATAAACCTATATACAACCATTTCTATTCCTGAAAGAGAGTTAGCATTTGACCATATTGCTTTAAAACCAACCAGTTTATTACCAGATATCCGTGAGACACTCATTAGACATTTAAACAACCGTCAAGAAAAGTTCCACTTTGTTTCATGGACAGATGATAGTCACTTTGTAGCAATCAAACCAGACTCTTTAAAAATTGATGGACAATCCAATGAAATCCCATTAACCGACCCACTCAGACCTATATCGTTCTACAATCTTCCACAAGGTTCAAAAATTGTTCTTAGGGGTGGAATAAATTTACAAGGTGATGCTCCTAAAGAATGTTTTAGATCATTATATACCGCAGGCACCAACCAAGAAATGGATTATTTCAGATGCTCAACCTGTAATTTAAATTGGGTTTGTAAAAATTGTTCAGAGTATTGCCATAAAGGCCATGAAATATCAATTCATCTTCTTAACCATATTCCAACCTATGGTTGTTGTTATGATAGTAAATATAAAGATTGCAAATTAAAAGTCAAGAAATAATAATGTAGGGTGTCATTTAGTATATATATACTAATTTAAAAATAAAGATAAAGATATAGAATCTTATTATTTTTTTGTATTATAATAAATGTAATTTTTCTTTTTATTATTTATTACTTTTTTTTTTTAAAATATATTTTTATTTATTATTATTTTATAACTTTGGATTTGGTTTAAATGAACATGATTCCAAGATAGTGGCGGTGGCATTACCAAAACCAATGCACATTGTTTGAAGTGAATATCTTTTGTTTGATCTTTCAAGTTCGTTAACCAATTTAGTCATTAAAATACAACCAGTAGCACCTAATGGATGGCCCAAAGCAATAGCACCTCCGTTTGGATTAACTTTGCTTATGTCTATATTTAATTCTTTTTGCCATGCTAATGCTACAGATGCAAAAGCTTCGTTGATTTCGAAAATATCGATTTCACTCAAAGAGAGACCACACTTTGCTAAAACTTTTTTGGTGGCTGGGATTGGTCCTGTTAACATTAACTCTGGATCAGATCCAACAACAGCAGTTGCTACAATACGGGCACGTGGAACTAAACCCAACTCCTTTACTTTTCTACCACTGACTAAAAGTACAGCTGATGAACCATCACTAATTTGTGAAGCATTGGCGGCACTGATTTTACCATTGGCCTTAAAAGGTGTCTTTAATGTTGCCATTTTTTTATAATCTACTGGTGTACGAATACCCTCATCTTTATCAATTACTTTGCCATCTGGTAAAGTGACTGGAATAATTTGACTTTTAAAATAACCATTCTTTTGAGCTTTATCTGCTAATTCATGACTTCTACCACTGAATCTATCAATTTCCTCTCTACTGATATTATATTTTTCTGCAATCATTTCTGATGATACACCTTGATGAAGAATCTTAAAATCAAAACCATCTTTAAAAGTCTCATCTAATTGCCAATCACTACCCATTTGAACAACACCCATCATTTCTACACCACAAGCAATAACAATATCCATATCACCTGATTTAATAGCTTGTGATCCAAAATGAACTGCTTGTTCACCTGACTAAAAAAAATTAAAATGTTAATAAAATAATTTATTATCATTATTAATATTATCAATTAATACATACACCACACATTCTATTTAATTGAACACCTGGTACACATTGTGGAAATTTGGCTTTAAGTGCTGCAAATCTTGGAATATTAGCACCTTGTTCTCTGACTGGTGTAACTACACCACAAATAACATCCTCTACAAGAGATCTATCAACTTTTGTATTTCTTTTCATTAATTGATCTAAAGTAGTTGCTAATAAGTCGATTGGTTTCATGGAATTTAAAGATCCATTAGAATAACCTCTACCAACTGGTGTTCTTACACAATCAACAATAAAAACATCCCTATCTGAAATTGAAACTGTGGTTGTTCTATTTTCTGACATGTTTATATTTTTCTGTTATATATATAAATTAAAATTTAAAAATTTAAAAAAATTAATTAAAAAAAAAAAAAAAATAATTATTTTATGACATGATTTTTAAACCCTTTTGTTAAAAAAAAAATAAAAAAATAAAAATTTATATAAAAAAATAAAAAAAAATAAAAAATTTATATTTTTCGCATCCTTTCTTAGTTTTTAAAAAATCTAAATATTTTATATAAAAAAAAAACTATAACCTATTTGGGGTGGTAAAATTATTATTATAATTAGGTGAGAGGTAAACAGTTTCAATTCTATTATACAGAAAAACAAGAGGTTAGAATGATATATTGGAAATAATATTTTTTAATTTTATTTTCTGTCAAAAACAAATTAAAATAATAGTGATTGTTGAAAAAAAAAATATACTAAAATAAATAAAAAACTTACCATATATGAATTAAAAAATTACTTTGTTGTGTGTGAACAACAACCATTTTTTTTTTTTTTTATTACTTGTTTCTTTTGTTTGTTTTTTTTTTTTTTTTTTTTTTACTTTACACAACAATACCCTATTCTTGTATTCTTAAAAATAAAGTTTATTTGAATAAAAATAACATAATAAACCACCCCACACAAATCCACACTTAAAAACACACATTTTAACACATATTTTAACACATAAATCACCAATTAAAATAATAAATTTACAGATAAATATACAAAAAAAAAAATAAAAAAAAGGGTATAAGTTTTATTTTAAAAAACAAAACAAATAAATTAATTTGTTTATATATTTAATTTTTTTATTTTATTTTTTTTTATTTATTTATTTATTTATTTTTAATCAAAAAATTAAATTAATAAACCATTTATTATTTAATGTTAATTTAATTTTAACTTAATTTTTAATTTATATATAAAATTATTTATTATTTATATCTTTTACAAATAAAATTTTTTAAAATATAAAATCATTAACATATAAAATAATGGGTTATACTAATTATAATAATAATAATAATAATAATAATAAAAATAATAATAGTAATAATGATCAAAATATAAACTATTATAATAATAATGATACAATTTCAATAAATGATGAATTTAGAAGTATACCATTAAATAATTTTGATGATATTTTCCAAATAAAGCTTAATAATGCTAAATCGGAAAAAGAAAATACAACTATACCCAATAAATACTCAATTATTATATTTAAAGATTTACATACAAATCAATTTAATGACTCTTTACCACTACTTTTAACAACCATAATAGATAACCCTATTCAATATAGCAATTTAATCGATACTATAAATCACCTTAAACTAAAATCATCATCCAAACTATCAGACTCAATCCATAGAATAATATTTATACTAGTGTTTTTAATCATTTTCTTTATTACATTTATAATTCTATTACTACTACCTTTTAACATCAATTACTATCTTTGGCTTATAGTTGTTATACCAATAATATTTATCTCATCTTATATTGAACAATTTATTAAAATTAAAAGTATTAAAAAAGTAAGTAATATTATTATTTATATACAATAAATAATTTAAAAAAAAACTAATATTGTTTTTATAGTTTATGATAGAGACTGAAAACACCCACTTTACATTGTCTAATATGAACGAATGGAGAACCCAAAACATTTCATTCAAAAGTATATTTTTTAGAAGAGACGAAAAAGGATTTCTTAAAAAAGTAGACTCATCATCAAGCCTTAACGATATCAAAGAATACCGTAACTTTTACCAAGGTCTAATTGTCGAATTTCCAAAGAATCAACTAAATCAAATCACAATCTTTAATTTGCAAATAATGGATTATAAAAAAATATTAAATAATATAAATAATCAAAATTATGAAAATTTTGATGAATTAAAAAAACATATAAAACAACAACAACAACAACAACAACAATCAGATCAAAATGAAACAATAATTGACGAAACTGATATAAACTATAATCAACATTTTATACAAAACTATTATAATACTTTGGGTTTGAATAAAAATACAACAATCACAAATTCAAATAATGCAACCACGACCGACATAAATAGTAATAATAATAATAATAATTGTTACATTAGTTACCACATTCCAAATTTTACAATCTGAATCTAAATCTAAATAAACAAAAAATTAAAGAAAAAAAAAATAATAAAATAAATGATTTTTATTTATGGATATAAAGAAAAATTTTATCACTTCGCACACACTTTTTTTTTTTTTTTCAATCACACCAAACAAAAAAATAATATACTTCGCTTTTAAATATCTGTAAAAGTGTCAATACCTGCCACACAACGGAGTGGACTTGTGTTAAAAAAAAAAAAAACAATATTGTCAAAATTATTTATTTTTTAAAATTTTAAAAAACCGTTTTTTTTTTTTTTTTTATGACTTTATGACCTCTGTGTGTCACTCTCGTAACGATTCTTCCCAAGAAAAAAAATTTTATACGCAATATATAATTATTATATATTAAATTAAAATTTTTTTTTATTTTTTTTATTTTACTTTTTAATAGATTTAAACAAACAATAAAACACCAAAAAAAAAGAAAAAAGTTTCCTTTTTATTCATTTTTCTTATTTTGCTATTATTATAATGTATAAATAAACAAATAGTATATAAATATACAACTATCACATCTACACTCACTTGCTACTCCTAAATTCTTATTGTTTTAAATCTCAAAACGACAAACTATTATTTATATTATTTTTATTATTTTTTTTTGTGTGTGGTGTATGTGTGTGTGTTGTTATTGTTTCTTTTAAAGCTAATTAATTACTAATATATATTTTTATTTATAATAATCAAAATAACAATATTTAATCATTATTTTATTTTCTATTCTTTT